GCAAAGCCCTAATTCCAACTACTCTCATCCCTGAAAGTGCTTATTTTTGATTTACGTTTTTTAAAAGCCCTTAAAGGTGGTTTTTTTTATTTGGTGATTGTAAAAAGTGCTTCTTTTTTTAACTTTTAAGAAGAGATTTTTTCTTTGCCGTATCGATAGTTGTTCTAAATTACAAAAAATTCATGATTTTGATAATTTTCTGTGCATTATTCATCACAAACTAGGTATTTTATCATGATTATGTAAAGTTTTTTTAAAATGTTTTTGAATTTTATTGACTTTATGTTTATAAATTAAGAACTTTAAAAAGATGGAAAAAAATAATTTTTGTTACAGCACAGATCCTAGTTATGATTTTTTTTTTTTGGAAAGTGATATTAAAAATATTTTTTGAGTTCTTCAAAAGTACTTATAAGGTGCTTATTTTTCGATGAAAAATCTGGCTTCGCACCCTGACTTCTATTTGGGAAAAATCTTCTGTAAAGTATAAAATTAATGAAATTTAAAGAAAAAGTAATGATAGTTTTTAACATTAATTCTTACATAAGCATAATATTGCAAAAATAATTGCTATGTATTTATTTTCACCGAGAAGAAAAATTCCCCCTAAAAGTACTTTTGAAATATTTGTTTAGCCACTTGTAGTAATTTTAAGATTTATTTAATAATTTTTTATTTCAGAAAATTTTATTGACTATTTAGTTGTGGATAACTTATTTTTTGTTGTTGATAGGTTTTCCACATTCTGGTTGCCATACGGATCCAGTGCTCACAAGATTGTTTTTTAAAATAAAGTATTTATCACAAAATAGCATGGAAACAACAAAAAAATTCAAATCAATGATAAGAATTGAAGAAATTGCATGGCCAACTTCGATTTTCAGTTTTCCTCACTCTGGTTGTTGGTAGAAGTGAGGTTTCAAAATGCACGGGTTACTAACTTATTAAAAAAAAGAAAAGAAACAAAAACAAACAAAATTTTCCTTCTTCGATTGCTGCTTCCTCGATGAAAAGCGAACTGACTTTTCCGATGTAGATAGTCAAGAGAAAGATGAACTTAACCCTTCTCAAACTGTTTAAAACATTGCCAAGTGTTAAATCACTAACATCCCTCCTGGGGTTAGCGTACATCTGTAAAACTTCAGCTGGTCTGATAAACCTTTTCTTTCCCCCCCTTCCTGTCTGTGTGATAACAGATGTAGCCACATTTAATTGTTAGCTGGCCTTCATCTGGCATTCACTTCTTTTGTGTTGTGGCATTCGAATTCAAGCTCGATAAATTATTTTGTATAGTTGTAATGTAAGAGTGTATGTAGCTGTATGGTTTGTATGCTTGCTTTGTATTGGAACACTTCTCTCTCCCAACTCTTTATTTTTGTCAACGCAATTCTGGAAAAGATGAAGTTTCTCCTCCAGTTTATCTTCCATCTTTAAAAAAACCCTCTATGCAATGTGTGTTGTTGCTAAAATAAAATTAAAAAAAACCCCTTTGTACACAAATAAGTGAAGTAGCTCTGCACAGATGTGTGGTGGGCTGTGTTGTTGTTTTGTAGTGGAAGAGGGAGAAAATAATCTATGTTTTGTAAAAGCATGGAGGAAATTGTTTCCGCATGGTTAATTGCTGTTTAGACTCATTAGGCTTTTCAAATTGTAATTTTCACCTAAGAGTATAATTTATGTATATTTATACCAGTGTGAGTCAAAGTATTCGATATAGTATATTCTTGGAAATATTAAAAACTGATTGTGCTTTATTTAAAAAATTTTCTTTCTCAGATAGGTTTTTAGGTACGGTTGAATACTGTTATAGCATGTTTTAGATCAAAAAATGGTTATTTTTCTCTGTTTCTGATACGAAACGGAAGAGATTTGAATTTTAAGTTACGGCTAATGAAAATTCATTTTTTTGAGCTACAATATTTTAATATGATCTGAATTTCTCATAGATCTGTATCAAAATTTAATAAATTGACAAAGATCCAATCAAAACAACTGGCTGTCCATGTTCCGTTCATGCCTTTCTTACATCACAAACTGGTTATTTAATGTTGTGAAGATGCAAAGCATAACATTCTTGAGTTTGGAATAGTCCAAATCATATACATTTACTACGTAGTATAACTTTATTGACAATTTGTGTTTAAAAGTGATGAAGTCTATGATGTGCTATAACAGAATTCAGTTGTAATTGTTTTGCTGTACTAATTGTCTATTTAAGTATTGGTAATTGTTCAAAACATTTGAATTGGTTTAATAAATAATTTTGATTAGTAAATTTATGTCGCAATAATTTAAAAAGTTTTAGTAAAAATTCAACTCCACTTTTATGTGTAAAGATATTATGCGATGTTCAATTGTTATATTCCATTTTATACATATTTTACTCATTATGTTCATATGTCATCACTGTATATACATAGATCATATAAATTTTATAGTTAAAATTTTCATTGTAGTGTATATAATTTCAGTTTTTTAAAAGGAAAAAAAAATTACTTAATATATATATTGAGAAATAACTCAAGCCGTTTGTGCAGCTTAATCTGTGAGATTATTTTCATTATGAAATATATTTATTTTATAATATGTTAAAACAGATCGTTTTTTTGCTAAATTTATATTTGTTTTGTAAAATTTATAAATAATTTTTATTTAAAAATAGTATTTATCTTTTCTAGTTTGTTTGGAATAATTTTCAAATTGTTTATCTTTTATTTCAGTAATTAATCCTTTAGTTTTATTGGTTTTGAAGTTTAAAAAGTAAATTAGGTAGGTCTAACATAATTTTAATTAATGGTGCACTGTGATGCATAGAAATAAATTCGTTTTGTGAATCGCATGAAAATAACTATGCATAAACATGTTACTTGTAAGTAATAAAGTACTAATATTTGATTGAAGATATGCAGTACTAGTTGCCTTTTTTTTTTATATGGAACTTGATTTATGCCCCTATAGTGACTTCAAGTTAACACACTATGTTATTAATAGTAATCTAATAAGGAAATACTCACATATATAGTTTAGAATTATTAGAGTTTTTTTTTTAAATATTTCATTTTATTGTGAAGCAATAAAACTCACAAATAAAGTTCACATGCATTATGCAATAAAGTTAAATCTATAGAGAACTACTTTTATGAGTTAATATATGTTTGCTTCAGTTTAATTTATTGTAAACAAGTTAAGTTCAGACATCTTTGGAATTATTTTTCAACAGTGGCAAAAAAATTTTTGGAAGTTTTTTTGAAACATTTTCTAAGTTGTTAAAAAACTTAATTCTGTATAAATATAAGTTTAGAATTAAGAAAAACTGTCTAACTCAAAGCAGTTAATAAATTTCTGTTTTTTTTTTTTTTTTTTTTTTTTTTTTTTTTTTTTTTTTTTTTTTTTTTTACACCTGTGCTTATTTCTTGTATATTTTTCACTTATGTTTATATTTTCTGCAAAGCCCTAATTTTTCATGTTTGGGGAAAAGTTATTTGTTTAGCAATTAAACTGTGATCGTGAATTTTAGTAAGCATATTACGGTCAATAATTATATCAACATATAAATATGTGATGTATACGTGATTTATTTTATAATTTTAAAAGTGTAGTGTTTTAATTATATGACAGGGTACTTTAAAAAATAACTCAGTTACAGAAACATTTCATCCATACCTTGGATATTGTTTTCCATTTAATGTGAATTTTTGAATTAATATTTGTTACTTATGAACTAGGTATGAACTCAAAATTTCTGTACTTCTATGATGGTTTTTGTTGATGAAGTTTTAAAGGGATCTAATTTTTTTTTGTTGCTTGTAGAGTTTTATTGATTTTCTTTTCCAAAGAAACAGTGAATATATTTTGAATACTTTAGATATTTTTTTCTTCATATTTTATTTGTGATCTACATTAGAGAAATTATTTTCAATTTTTAAATATATTTTTTTTACTGCATTACGAAATTGTTTGAGTAATCGATTTTATTGAGTATAGTTTGTGATATTCGTTGTTTTGATGCTTTATATAGCCAACTTATGGCTTTAATAATTTTTGTTTAAAAAAAGTTTATTTTCGAATTAAATTATGAATGAGTGATGGATATTTTTTGTTAATGATTTAGCGTTGTTATCTGGCAATAAAAATAATTGCAACACTGAGTCTAAAGTCTTTTAAGTTGAATTTAAAAATTGAGTGTTTTATAAACTACTTTGAAATCTTCTACAGTTATTTTTCTGAATATGTAAGTTTTACTTGAATCTTTATGTATATAATATGCAGGGTTGTGTACTCAATTCAAAGTATGGCTTATAAATCCTTGTCAAATGGAAGAACAGCACAAGTTACGGAAAATCCTTTCATGGGCATGTCAAGATTCCAATCCCTGTATGGTACAGAGTGTTGGGGGGGGGGGATAATGAGACTTCCCTGTCTGGGAGACTCCCATGCTTAAATATGTTACTGTAACATATTAGCATGGGTTACAATAACAGGTAAATGTCTATATTCACAAGTTAATGCCTACTTTCACTGGTAAATGTCAATCCTTTCCATTGAGTATTGATCTTCACATGGTTGCTTAAGTGAATGTCGTCAATGTTTATTAAATATTATTTGCTCCTAAAATGATACAGCTACGAATTTCGACATTCAGCTTGTTTATTGATGGGGAAAGCTGTCAGTACTTTTCACTTATTACTCTTCCAACAGTGCTTGTTTTAAGTGATAATAGTGAAATTTGAAAAGGATATTTTATTAAACACTCCTCATGCTGCTATAACTCAACATTTTCTGCACTTAATGAGAAACAATCTTTACAAAATTTATGAAACATTCACAATGCTTAAAATTAACATTCATTGATGTGTAAGTGCAAAATAATGATAAGTAACAAATGTCGGAGACGTTCACTTAAGGGACATAAAGGGTGACATTCACCAGTTAATGTTGACATTCACTGAATCAACGGAATGTTAGTATTTACCAGAGAATGTTGACATTCACTTGATTTTGGACCTCCACAATAATATATATTTATAAATTTTCAAGTAAAAACCTTTTGCAGTAACATACATATATATTGTTTAGAAAATAACATTTAAAATTTTAATTATTTTTTGCACCAATTATATTATTTCCTACTGAACCCTAAATTAATTCTTTAATTGGCAGTGTTTTGAAATGTTATTTTCAATGACTGGATGTGTATTATTTTGAATGATTTGGGGAAAAAATTGATTTGAAACCTTATGTTTTTGGCCAATGCAACCATTTTGTCTTTAGATATTCAATAAATTGTTCTTCACTGCTGACCATAGCATTAAAATTTTCCGTAATAAAATTCATCCAGATTTAGGATTTAAAAAATAAAAATAAACCATTATTTAATGATATAATTCTGAAATGTTTTTCAAAATCATTAGTGAGACAAAGCAATTTTCATCACAACCTATTTTTCTTAAAAGTTCTGTTCAGGGAAAATATGTTTGTATAGTACAATTAAATTTTTCAATAGCAGTACACAAGTTATAGTAACAATATAACTATGAGATTTAATAAGTAAATTATTATTAATTTTATAATTTGAACAACATCTGTTTAATTAAATGGTTTTCTTTAATAATGCATATCTGGCCACTAAAGGGTTTGAAAAATGGAAAAGCATAATTCTTGCAGATATTTTTCTTAGTTTAGAAATATTTTGTTTATAAAATTATGATGATAATGTTAATTTTTAGTGAAAAAAAAATTGAATTCTGATTCATTTATCCCCAAAAATTTTATAAATCGATTTTATGCTGTTTTCTTTCTTTTTTTTTGTATTTATTGAAAAGGAATAAAATCCAATAATATAGTAATTTGATTTTTATTTCAAATTAAACACTTTTTATTTCCTTTTATTGTCCAGATTTTCTTTTAAGAAAAAGAAAAGAAAAAGATAAATATTTTTTGCAAAAATCAAATCAAAATACTCAAGATTTCATTAATTTTTGTCAAATACAGATCACATTAAAATGGAAACTTTCTAAATTGTGCCTGAGTATCTAATTTTTTCCATTAACTTAATGCTTAAACATCGCTTTCATTGCGATGTTTAAGCATTACTATTTGTCTCATTTCTTTCAATTGAATTATATTACTCTCCTATCAGTTTGTTTTCCAAGTTAAATTTTTTCTATCTTTCTAATATTAAATGAAGTACACTACATGTTGCCAAATTAAAAAAATATTTTTAGACTTATTATTTCTGAGTTAGAATTTTTTTTTTTAAATCAAAGTGTTCGATGTATAGACTGTTTTGTCTAGATCGCATGCCATACAGAGTAGAATATAGTATTATTACTGTATTATATGCTTTGTGTTTATGTATTTCTTTTTAATTAAAATTTTTTGTCTGTTGTGTATATTTGTTTCAACATATTTATAGACATGGTTTATATCTTGTTAATGCTATTTTCAAAAATTTTGATATATGTTCAGGAAGGACTTAACAAAGGCGGTCGATATAGTGCCATATAAACTTTTATTCTGTTTCAGTACATTTAGATATACATTTAAAATCCCTGTATATTTAAGATGCAGTTAATATAATAAAAGTAGTTTTCTTTTAGTACGTATTTGGTATAAAATATTGAATTATTGTTTCCTGCTTAAATACCTCTATTAAGGGGAACAATGTCATGATTTCATACCAATTCTATTGGGGAAAATGTGAATTTTTGGCACAGAAATCTCAGACAATTGTGAACCGATTTTTAGTGGGATAAAACTGACTTTCAAATAACGTCATTTATATGACCTACGTTGAAATTTTAAGTTATGTTTAAGATCCCATGTTTTAAAACACCTTTTTAATTGAAATAAATCGATTCATTACTTAAGACCTTAGTCAGTTAACTCCTGATAATTCATTACTTGATTTACTGCTGTCCGATTCTGCAAAAACATTGTGGTAAATGTTACTTGTATTGTCTGCACAGGAGATTCCTGTAAAGTCTTGCTATACTTTACCAGTTAGACATTCTCTACCACTATAGTTTGCTCACACAAGATTTTGTCTTGAGATATTTTGTCTGCAAAATTCTGCTCTTTCTTAAACCAAATATGAGATTGATATTTTTTCACAATTCTCAGTTTCTTTGAAATGACTAACTGTTATAAAAAGCCAAATTTACAGGTGAAGAAATGTTTCCTATTATAAAATATATATACAGGTGATGTTTTCAGTTTTGTTGATAATCTACTTCTGAAATATTTGTGCTATATTTTCACATTTCTCTGTAGAAATATCATTAGAGTCAAGCAACCAAGATAGATGATATAGTCCCCTTAAATTTTGTAATGAATGAAATCTGAAATTTAAATAAAGGAAAATATTTGTTGCTTAGTTATCATTTTAATTTCTTAACACGTATGTTAGATAGCTGTGGTCTGGCTGTAAAATTAGATTTAAATTTAAAATCCCTGCAATATGTGAAACACATTTTT